AAAACATTTTGTCTGTTTTGATTTTATAACTAACTTACCGGTAAGTTTAATATGTTCTTCAACCTTTCTTCAACACTTAAATCTTTTTTCGGACGTATTAACAAAAATATCTCACACACATCCGGGCAACATCGCAATACTTTCTCGATAAATACTTTGCCCACAAATCCTGTTGCACCTGTGAGAAATATACTTTGTCCAGCGTAAAACTCTGAAATTGACTTAACTGGATTGATTGCCATTTTTTTCAAAATTATTAAAATAAAATAAACAAAAATAGCAGTAATAATAAAATGGAAACAACAAAATGCACGAATTCACTTGAGAACGTTACGGTCTCCTTAAAGCCAATGCCGTTATTGAAAAAATATAAGCTAAATACTGGATTTATATAGTGAGGAAAGCATTATTGTTAGATGCATAATTGCATGCATTATTGAATTAATGCATAATTTCTGTGTTAAAAGAATGCTATATGATGTTAGTCATTCGATAATAAAACGGAAATGACTTTGCTACTGTACCAAAGATGACAAAGTAAACTTAAATGTATGCGCTAAACGTTTACTTATTAATTGCAAGATGCAGAAAAAATATAACATTTTTGTAAAACGTAAAAAAACAACTGCTATAAAAAAACAAATTTTAAGCATAACAATTTTCATTCTTAAGTAAAATTTTAATAGTCCTCGTTTCGTCTATCATCTATTCTTTATCAAATATCTGCCTTTTTTGCATTCTCAATGTTATTGAAAAATATTCATACAATCACATTTATTCACACAATTCACATACAGAAAGCACAAGAAAGTCATGTAAAATATATCAATTTATTTTAATGAGCTATTGCTCTTAATGATAATTTTACAACATTAATTTCTTGTACACATGTATTTTCTTACACGGAAAAAAATACTCGTTGATTATGCACACAACTTTCTTTTGGAAAATTTATGTAATAAGTAGCAATACGCACGCGTGTATACGTATAAATGTTTTTAATATTTATTTTGTTTTATCATTATATATATGCGATCTCTGACATGTTTTTCGTTTAACCTCATTTAATATCGTTTAATCAATCATCGGTGAACTGTTTAAAAACCAATAGAATAACTTTTATTATTTTTTATATACGCAATTTCTCATAATACAGTATATTGTGCTGCATTTAATTATTATATATCTCCAATGTGTATTAATGCAGTCTTTCTGTAAAAACATCTTTTATACGTACTAAGCGCAATAAAAAACAAGGAGAAATTCATAGAACGTGGCTGTACACTATTAACATGCAATCCGAAGAAAAAATCAAGGAAAACTCGCGTTCTGTTGCCGTTTTTAGCTCAACTTTACTCAATTCTAATCGAGATATTCGCGATATAAAGTATGAAGCCAAATTCTACAAGAATTATTCAAAAGATAATTATTAACTCTACAAATATAAATGCCATTCTGTTTTAAAAATCTATTTTTCTTTCTTTAATCCATTTAAATTAATAATTTAAATTAATAATTTTATTCTTCTCTTTCTGTTAAGATTTTTTTATTTACAGAAACTCCATTCAGACTAATGTTGAAACGACAGAAAATGTAGCTACTAAAGCAAGAGCTGGAACTAGAGGTAAGAGACGAGACAAAAAGACGACGATATTACCTTCCGGAAACGAAGACGTTTCACATTCCATCTTGGACTCTGAAATCGCGTATGTTGAATATCGGGAAGATAAAAGTCTTGTAGAATGGCAATTATTAAAGCCGAAAGTACCGTCGCGTTTCTCGTTGCTAGTATGTCTTCCTTTGATCTATTATTTATTTAATAATAAGGAGAATTAAATTAATTATTGCTCTTTTAATAGAGAAAAATTACAAAATGATTTATTTGTTTTATAATTTCTTCAAATTGATTTCATTTTCTTATTTAATACTATTTGTATGTTAGTATTTTTGCAATTTTTCTACTTAGCAAAACTTGTATCGTTAACAATTAATGTACATTTAATTAACATACGTTGATTAAGCATTAAATTTGAACAATTATAGATGAATGAATAATTAATCGATGAATTATACAATAATCTTTATAAATATAATTATCTAATGTATTATATGTATATGTACACATATGCTTTTCTTAATATAAATCAATGTTCATCAAAACCAGAATTTAGAACGTTAGGATATGCATAATAAATAATTAAAATTACAAAAGTTATTCAAATCAATTGAAATATATTATGAAAGTGGAAATAATATTTACATTTCAATATTCTATAATTTGTTTCAGCTACACGAATGGAATGCAATACAGGTAATTTTGTGCTTAGAAATTATATTTTATCATATAATTTTTATCTCCTTTTTATATTATTGTTGTATTAATTAGTATTTAAAATTTCAAATAATATTACTGTACATATGCAGCATCAACATTTATCATACTGTATACTTTTGGCACACAACAAAAGTGTTGAAGTACGCAAAAAAAGGCAATGTTATTTTAACAATATTTGATATTTTGTTTCACAGGTACCAATTATTTCACACTTCTCATATAATTCATTAAAGTGAAGAGTTATTACATGGTTCGATCGATTTAACCAAAGCTTCTAGAAGCCGAAGCAATGACGAAAAAAGCACGCAAGGCATTAGAAAAGGAGCGAGAAGCGTCCGCGGCCGCTGAGGCTGAGAAAATTAGGTAAAATTCATTTACAGCAACAAAAAAAACATAAATAAGATTAAATTAAATTGGATTCTCAGGTTCTCTGAGATTTACCTAGAGATTTGTTAATCATTATTGCATGAATATACATATTAAACTTTGAGCTTTCAAGACTCTTCTTAGCATGTTAAAATATTTTTAAAAGGATGCAGATGATTAAAGACATGCATGAAGAGATTCGATTGGAAAAGTACAATACGGAGAAGCAAGTGTTGCTCGAGGAACGGGAAGCAGAGATGCGCAAAGTTCAATTAGAAGAGACACAATTCGCGCTCTACGATTGTGAAAGCGCGTTTATGGAATATGTCACTGCCGCTGAAGAAGAGGAAAATGTGAGAATTGCTGCATTTTCTTCTTTATAAGAAATAAATGTAAAAAAAAGAAATCTATAATAACTAGAAATATGGTCCAAATATACCGATATTTTTATTAATCAATTATTTGTAACATGAAAAAAATTATCTTCTGATTTTAAAGTATATATGTGGAATTAGGTTTAAACTTTCTTAATGAGACACATCAGCATGCGCAGCATGTGGTTATAAGATACCACAAATAACAATAGTATAATTATTTTCAGTGGATTAGATACATGACTTGCGATGGCTTGCCAAACCCTGGCAAGCCATCCGAGATGAACACCTTTATATTTCTGTGGTCTATGAAAGGCGAGGAGGTCAATATGAGCAACATCGTCATGAAACACGATATTGTCATTTTCGTAAGTGTTTTAATAAAATCAATAATGTCAGTATATAATTAAATGCAGCTTAATTGTCCACACAAACGTACAACTGTGAAAATGTATAATTAGACAATTAGGCAGTTTTACACACATAATGTATTATATTATTAATTTGTAAATAAAAATTATTCAGAAAGATTTTTTCTATCGTTAAAATAGCAATTATACTTTATTTTCTAGTTATTGACAAAGCTCGATGAAATAATACGATTCTCTAGAACAAGACCGGCAAACTATATAATCGAATGCAAAACGGTGAGCAATCACTTTCAGTTAATTTGTAATACGTAATTCTTGTGTAAAGGAATTGTGATATTTATTCGAGTCACACGTTAAACAGATTAGACAACAATTTCGAGACAAGCTTCAAGAATGGATAAACGCGGCATGCTACTCTCTCTTGCGGCAGATAGAGAGGGATATGGTTCGCGAAGGCATCAAATCGGCGAGATACACTAATGTTTCCAGCCAACTTAGTTGCTGCATTTGGGCTTTGATAAAATTGCCTATTCCGCTTAAACAAATTACCGACAAGGATCGGCACGTATCATATCAACGTTTCATATCAATATAATAAATACACATACCAAAGTGGATATATATTTATCGAAAGATTACGTAGACACGTCATATTAGTCTGAATCAGTATTAATTTTTCACTTGTTGATCTTGGCAGAAAACCAATTGAGGTGCACTTCGAGGAAATAGAACTCACTGTTAAAATGCCTGCGGACGTCGATTGTTATTGCATGGCGATTCGCGCATTGTGGGTGAAATATGATCATTATTCCGATTGCGCAATCTCTTATTTCATGCCGAAACTGCCGGACGAATATGAAAGCATGTATGCCATGGGTAAGATTTTCTCACGAAATTTACTGCGATTAACCAAGCTCGATTAATTTCGAAAACAATTTGTGTCAATTTTATTACGTTAAGTTATGTAAAACTACTCTTGTATAAAATTTCAAACATATATAGCAGCTTATAGTTTGCAAACATTACTGATGGAGGTTTGTAAAAATAAAAATGACGTAAATGTAATAAATTTGATCTTAAACTAATCAAAAGAAATTTGAATCGTTGCAATTTCTAAATTTTATGAACACCATTTCTATGAAGGAATGTAATTCCATGTAGAAAATTTTTTCTTACGCAAATACATATTTCAGATCTTTTTACCTATTGTCAAAACGAGTATAATGCGAAATTGAAGATACGCGAGGAACAGGTCGAGGGCCGTCGTATGCGATTGGAGGAAAAAAAAGCTATACTCGAAAGAATGGAGAACCCGCCAGTCCCAGTACTTACAAAACCCGAAAGAAAAGGAAAACAGCAGAAAAAGCCAGGTGTTCAAGCTATCCGTGTAAAGCGTCCAGAGCCAGAACAAGAACCAGAAAAGTTGCCTTATCTACCTACACCGGATGAAATTATTCTACAACAAGAAGGTATATTTTTCAAATTAGAGAGAATTTGAGATAAACACATTTTTTTAAGTTAAATAAATAAAATAATTTTAAAATATGTTAAAAGTAGAATTAAAACATATTGAAATAAATTCTATTAGAAATAAAAAGCATTGGAATAAAAGGAAGAATTAATCATTTAAAAAGTCTAGAGCAACTGACAATAAAACAATATTAATTTTCCATTTTTATAAAAAACCGACTCCTTTTTATTTCTTTAAATTTATCTAATAATATACACTTGTTCTTTTCTCAAATTTAAAAGTGCAAGGATAAAAAATGTTTACAAAATGATCTAAAGCACATGAAAGTACAAACTTCAAGTTTGAATATTATATCTCATGTAAATAGTATTAAGATCATTGCTATAATATATGAAACTATTGTCAAAATAAATGTAATTATTTGTTTCCAGACGAAGCTCGAAAAGAGATTAGAAAGTTGCTATTCACGCGATGCGAAAAGACGGAAATAAATTTGCGGAAATACAGAATAGTAGGCGGAGTGTTGCATATCGATCTAATTTATCAGCCACCGCAGCCGAAAGATATGACGAGAAATATTTTGCTTACAACTTGTGAGAAATACGTGTTCTAATTAATTTTAGAGACTTTTTGTATGTTTCTATTTAATATTATCTTCTTTGCAGTGCAAATTCCCAAAGAATTAAAATTTGTACCATTTTCCAAACCGTATAAAGCACCACCTCCAGCACCTGATTCTGAAAGAACGCCAGAAGTAATCGAAGCAGAAATAAAAGCTCTGGAAGCTGCAATGGAGAAACTGACTCTAGTAACCTTAAAGTAAGTTTTAAAATTTGTAATAAATTTATCTTTTTTTCTCGAATATTTTTATAAATTAGTAAATATTGCTAAGTAATTATAACCAATAATTTAGAAGCTAGACTAAAATGAACAAAAGATATCTCGAAAATAAAATATTAGTTTAATTAAAATAAGTATCATCTTTAAAGATAATAAATTTTAATAAAGATATAAAAGTTGCGAGTAAAATTTAAACGTAAAAAATTAATATAACGTAATATTTAGAAATTATTAATGTACAGAATAAATATTTTATTGAATTAATAAACTGCAAACTTTATGCCGCTTCACATCTAATTTTTCATTTCTAATTGTATTACATATGTTCAATCTTGATTAATTGATATTCTTTACAGACTTCCCAGTTCGATTTTTTGGTTTGAACCCCCGTTAGTAGCGCACTGGATACCCGAGAGAAAGATATGGTCCACGCAAGACGTGCACGATATCAAGTACAACGAAGAAAAGCAAACTATCACCTTTAGAACCGGGCGACTGGGTGTCCACGGCCTCGCTGCTCTCAAATTCATCAACATTCCTTTTCAAAGCTGGGAGCTCAAGCCTGAAATGGGTAGAAACGCACGCGGTGGCATTGTGCTGAATGTGTCCGCTGCCATTATTCAAGCAGAATTTATCGTTAGGGTACTCAATCCTTTGAACTGTTTGCGTTTACATTTGCTGAAATAATTCACACATACGTGAAATACAAATTCTACAAGAGCTACGAAAGCAAAGAATATATTTTACAAAACGTTCGATACAAATACAATTCAATTCAACATGAATGCAAAATGTTTGCAGTATAAATTCGAAATATCAACGCCTTTCTATCAAATATCGTTATATGCTAAAATATTTTTATTTTTTAAAAGTTTTTTTATTTTACTTTTTATACTCCATATGTAAAACGCAGATGTATCAGAATAATCGCCGTTAATTTTTTTTCATCAAGCGCAATGTGCGAAATGAATTGTATTGACTTAACATTTTTGTAGGAGGACTTGGTTTGTTTAAATTCATTGGCTGGTGGTATGTCGACGGCACTAAAAGAGATTACGGGAGAATATATGAAGCTGTATTTCTTGATTGAGGTGAGAATTTTCTACTTTTTGCAAGTAAGTAAATTTATGTCTACAAAAGTAAAATAAATTACTTTTTTTTTATACTTTTTGTACTGTTACTTAGTTAAAATATATTTGGAAAATAATTCTTGACTAGCACGAAACACTTCTTACTTACAGAAACTGCGCGACGCCGGATGTGATCTATTTCCAGAGCGGGATGCCTTCAGTTATGTGAAAGCTCTTCCGGTAAAGCATCCGGTAACTGAAAAACATCTACGAGAATGCATGGCTTTACTGTGCACAGCATATACGTTCTCCTGGTCGCGTTGGAACGCTGGTCGGAATTCCAGGGAAATCGTGATACAGTTCAAAGAACTCCACGGATCTGTCGCGAAAGAGGTAATGCATTTGGCTGCTTCTTTTATTGAAAATTCTTGTGCGATAATGTCCTGAAACTTATTTTAACGTTGATTAATTTTAATAATAATTTAAATTTTACTTTTTAACTAACTCCTCATTTTGTTTTAAAATTAAAACCAAAAAACAGAAAAAAATATTTTTACATGAACGAATAATGCACTATTTTATGAGAAACAATTTAGTTTTTTATGTTCAATAATGTAAACTAAAAAATATTTTTTTTATTTTGGCAACAATTTTATTATACTTCTATGTAAATGCGATGGTACTTGGATGGTACCTTTTTACAGCGAACGAACTTAACTCTCTTGGTAACTCCCTTGCGAACGATAGTGGTGTCCTGCACCGAAGTAAGCCCAGAATTTTCCGATGTACCTTTAGATGGTGAGAATTCGAAGGTAAGTATATCTAATTTAATAAATATAACAGCACTGCAATTTATTTGTTAATTAACTACCATTATCTTAATAATCTAAGGTGGCTTGTATTAATTATTATTAGAAAAACCTATTAAAAAAGAACAATTAAACTTTATAACACTTAGCTCTTACACATAAACATCACATAAAAATTAATATTAAATATAAAGTAATGTAAAACTTATCCAACAGATGCCGGGAAACTAGTCAAAATGTAGCTAGCTAAAAAATACAATATTTTTTTACAGTTTTATGCTGACCTGTTTCACTTGGCGCTACAAAACGCCGGGATTAAAAGCAGACTTTTGATGAAAAACATCTCCTTCAAGCTTGCCAGCACCGTTGCAGAACTTCTAGGTCGCACTAATGTAATCAATATGTCATCTTAAGAAGTAACTTTGGCAAATAAAAGAAATGAATGATACTTTTCGCCAAATTAGTTGAGTTTCCTATCCCAATGTTGTAGAAATAATTTGCTACTATTAGTTAGTATTCTAACAACACTTATGTTAATTAATATTAATCGATTAAAAGTTGTTGCTCGTCACATTTGCGATTCATCGTAATCCACTTTTTTGAAATTTCAAATGCATGAGCATGTATAGAATTTTTACAGTTCTAAAAAAATTACATTAAAAGAATGTTATGTACAGAGAAAACGTTTAGGTCTTTATTGTAAAGATATACAATCTGTTTCTTTGTATTGTGTCGAATTTATCTTTAATAATATTATCGACACTACTTTTTAATCGATCGCATATCAAGTTGATGATATGAATATTATACTCATGTTATAAATGACACTTTTCTGATAAGTACGTACAACAATCAACATTTACAATGAGCACTTAATTGTTTCTAGCAAAAAGTGATTTAAACGCAAGCGTTTGCACCGTTTATATCATTTGTGTCATAAACGAGATATTTACCGCATTCAGTTGACAGTCAATCGATTAAAAATAATCATCAATAACGATTAATTATATTAAATCGTAATGTTTGTAGTACTCGATAATTCAGTTTTCCCCGCCTGAAAAGTATAGCTACACACAGGTAAAAACAGCAATTGAAACCAGTTTAGTTTTCATAGCTACATAAATCATAAAAATTATAAATCATAAAAATCATAGAGATCATAAAAATAATCTCTTCGTTTTATTGTAGAAATTGACGAAACGTATATTTGTCTGCTTTTATGGCATTCACGATTAGTTTACGGATGTTATACTGGTTTCAAATGTCGGGAAAAATCACAAAGTAAGATTAGAAATCAAATACGGGTGATTGGATCACAAAATGTATTTTTTTTTTTTTTTTTTTTTTTCACTGACAACTGTCCTCTGAAACGAAAAACATCGCAAAAAGATCGTTGCACAGTAATTGTAACCGCTTAGTGAATTAATGCATTGAAGAGGTCGCCGGTCACTCGATCGGTTTGATTATGTATTTGAGTAAACGAATGTATTTGAATACGTTGAATGTATAATTAAGTGATACAACACCGCTAACGCAACGTATATGTAAATCTCTCTTCGTCAATTTTTTCCACATCATTATCGTCACATCATTACGCAGCAAAATTATTTGCATTACTCAATCCGCATTGTCATGACAGATTTCACTGATTTTCGTAACACAAAGAAATGTGAAAGACTGGATGTGGAATTTTGCTTTTTTCTGGATTCTGGATTTAACGGACATGAATATCGTAAGCTGTAACGCTGATATACTGAAGATAGATATACTAAAGCAACGAGGCTATTACCTTTCTCATTCTGCTACGCGCATTCCGCACATATAAATCAGATGCAAAAATATAATAGTTAATAAAATAATTTCTTAAATGTAAACATTATCGTTAATTTTTACCTATTTCTTTTCCATTGCAATCTTATTTGAATAAAATAGAATTATTTATACAAAGAGAGTTCATTGAAAAAGTAATAATTATCCTTGCTGTAAACTTTCATTCGATTTCGATCGCGCGACAAAGAAAAGAAAAGCAGTCAAAATAATTTCCGGACATAAAGCGAATTCGGTGAGTAAATCCAATATATCCTCCCGAGACACGAAATATACATTTCGCTTGACGTAATCTTAAATCCTCTTTAATTGTAATTTGTATCTTTGCCATGTCATATAAAAATTTGTACGATTTGCATTATGTAATAGTCATTCCTTTATTTTTCTTAATCGTGACAGCAGTAAAGTGTCAGTAAACATAACTTTTACAATTGATGCGTGAAAAATCGTAGAATATGATTTACGAATAGTCCTTTACTTATTCTCTTTTTTTTTTGTTGGATAAAAGCATATAATAATATGCGATAAAATGTATCTAGAAAATATGTATAATAATTTAATTCTTTTTGCTCAAATATATGTATTTACATCGTGTAATACATACGTAATATACTGAGATGGTACATGCGTTTTAACGTGTTATAAGAAAAGTATAACGACTATTGCGCTACAAACATAATTACACTAATTTACAATTGCGCTAAATAATTGCTACTTTTCGGGATGCTCTAAGCTATATATCAAAACGATATTAACATGCATGTCACTAAAAATGTAGTGTAGCTTCGGGTCTCAGGAGGATATACACAAAACGCGACTCGGATTTTTTCAAGAATAAAATCTTTATGTCTGTCCTCTTTTTAAACAATTCGTATTTGTCTTCATATATTTTTTTTCTGCGCTCGCTATTCGTATTACGCACTTTTGAAGCAACACAGACGGATCAGAAGCTATTAATTACAATATCGAATCTCCGAATTGATCCTGCTAAAATCGCCTTTCGCATTTCAATAAGCCTACGGTCCATACACGAAAAAATCAATTGCATCCATCGGCGCTCGCTGATGTGCCTACATAATTGTGCATTGACTTAACACTTACGATATATATATATGTATATACATGTATGCAGAGATATGTTGCTGGTTCACTGTCGCAGAGTGCACCGTTTGACGAAGAATAAAAGGAGCCAACAGTAAATAGTGCTAATCCACATATTTTTTTAAGTAACACAAACATGCTGTGTGTTGTAATTCAATTGTCATCTGAAATTTTAATTAGCAAATGTCACAGAAGGATCAAGCTAATTTTTAAGAGACTCAATTAAACTATTTAGACATTTTGAAATATGCAAAGAAACGTAGCACAAAAAAATATTTGATTTTCAGTTTACGTTTCCAATATTTTTATCGATATATTAAAAGACAATTCACATTATTGAGCAGAAAAAATGCATCTCTGTTGCAACTAGCACTTATATTTAATATTATTATATATATTATAATACATAAAATTTTATCTAATGTTAATTATTTTGAATTGGTATTATAAAATTAATGTAACACAATTTTTCATTCATTTTCCGAATAAAAATTTTGGTCTCATATAACTTAAAAATATTTTACATCGAGAACTATGAGCATTACATGAAGAAGCTTCATAAAATTATTATTTGTCAAGATACAATTTATGTGGACAAGCACTTTCTTTTGGTGTCACTCTGGATGACTAAACAGCCATTTTGCTTAGGCATTACGATCATTTAAGGATGTGTCTTTTATCAAGCGGCATCTAACACTTTGCACTCGGTGAGTCCGGCAGAAATTTTCTGTGTTCCGCACAGTATAAGTTTCAATTATTTTTCATTTACTCCGATATTATTTGAAAGACTTATTGCAAGCTGGATTTCAAAGTGATAAAAAACCATATTCTTTAATTAACTTCCGACTTTATCTTAAAGAAATTTTACTCGGAGGTTTAGCTCTGAAAATTTATATGTAGTCAAAATTTAAAGAAGATGTAATCATTCTCGAAACATTTTTAAAAAAGAGAAAAAATCGATTAGGCATCCAAAACCTAAGAGTGTTATTCGAATAGGGTCGAGACGAATGTATTAAAAAAATCCACCGAGTGCAAAGAATTGAAGACGAGTCCCTGATTTCCGGGCTCGGTGGCACAATATGCGTACACACACACATACACACCTCAGATGTCGTGCAACAGCGAACCACTATCGGAAGGTAAAATGGCTCCTTTATTAATATCTAATACGAATCACGGTACATCTTTCGTTTGAAATCAGTTTTGACATCACCACGTGCACGAAACTGCATTTTTTAAGCTGCTTACAATTGAGGTAATCCATGATATAAGGCCCACGTCACTTTCCCCTGTCGGACTATCGCATATCGCTACTCGCTAGTGGTACTCTCGATACACCTTCTCTGTCCTCGTTCACTCTTTAAGTACTTAGAATTAATATATTTTGCAAGCCTGCGCGAACATAAGGTCGAACATCGAACGTCTCTGGCATTTCCGCCGCAATCGCTTCACCGCTTTATTCACCCTTTCGACTTATCCACAGCTAGGTTATACTATGACTACGCGTCGACATATATATATCACGATACGGATTAATATGCCTAACACACACGACATTTCACTTTACACTAAATACTTAAACATTGTACGTTCAACCCAGTCTATAACAAACGTTAAAACCATGGTAATGATTTTTGTAAATATTAGACAATAAACCGAAAAAGAAAAGAGAAAAGGAATGTGACAATGAGTATCAAAAATGATGATATACTATCGAGACATCAAAAAGGACAATGGATTATTACGGAAAATATTACGATTTTGTAGGAAGCTTTTTTGAGAAAAAGAAACTAGCCAAAATATTAACTGGGAAACATGGAGAACAGGACTATTGCGTTGACAAGTTTCGGCAATTTGTTAACTGACGTTTTGCAAATCTAGCAGCAACTGCATTCCGATTAGACTCGAATTGTCCGGTTATCAAATAATTGAACATTCTGAAAACATCCCATTATTCCAAATCTCTGTTTAATTCAACACGACAAAGTAATTTTCAAGATTGTTATGCAAACGATTTGTCGCTATAAAATCGATTATCCGAGTAATATTCAACAAATCGTTCTTCTTTAAAATAAAATTATTCATTAGTACTTGGAAGTCAAATTGAACTTTTTTGATCAACTTGGCATTAGTTTTTTCGGCTATTCGTTTGTCGCAATGTTCCCAGCGAGAAGATTAGGCAGAGTTTTTATTCATCCGTGTTCGCGTTTCGAGTACAATATTCCATATTGCAGTATAAAAACGTACATCGACAGAAGAGAAAGCGGAAGTACATCGTGTAGAAAATATTTAAACGGAAATATAAATTCACGTGGAGAGTAAAGACATTAAATGCATAGATCAGAATTTGCCTCGCTACTACGAAAACATGCAGATCGTTATTCTACTCTGTACATCGTGGATTATCCGTGTACAAAAGATTGAGATCTAAGTACACCTAATTCCCTTATCAAATCGCATTACGCGCAATTGTCCCTTTGCCTCGGTTAACGCGTATTAGCGATGTGATTGACGAGCGACAAGTGATCTTACGTCTTCTAAATTCTTTTTTGGCACGTTGTTATATTTTCACGTTTTATGATCGCTACGTTCGGCCAGTGGAAATCGCTATCTTCTGAGACAGAAACGATATACGAAAGCGCTTTCACTAACCGCACTCGTTGTGCTCTCGGTAAAGTGACAGTCGAATGGATCGTAATCAAACTTGGGAAAGCAATTTGGAAAAGAAAAACAACCAACGAATGTGATGCAGTAAATTGAAACGTTTCGTGTATCAATTTTTGCGTACACTATTGAAACTTTTCTCGGGGACCAGAAGGGAAGGCAACAGAGAAATAACTTCGAAGTGCATGTACCGAACTGAAGCGACTGATAGAAGGAGGATCGTGTCTTTCTTTTTTTTTATTCTTTTTTTAACACCCTGTGTAACACGCGAAATGCTAAGAACGATCCTACTTACGGTTATTTAAAACGGTAAAGGGCCTGCTAAATTTTCACGGTAACGAACTTCGAAGTATATACCCATGTTTTATACCATCATTTTAACGTGATACGTAAACCGGGAAACACTCTGTATCTTATATACAATGTATACAGACTACGACATACAAATATTAATCTAATCCTTGTGCTACTCGATACTTCCGCATAATATATACCAGTATAACCATTTATACTCACATGTTGTGTGTATATATATATGTATAATAGACTATTTTATTCGCTCCGTGTTTTGCTAATCTCTACAGTACTCCCTCTCTTCCGCGTGTGCGGAAGGTTGTTGTAATTACGAAAAATCGATAACACCTTCGACCCAAATGTAACGCTTAAATGTAAAAATATTTCCGGGATATATTTGTCACGATTGCAAAAGGATGGTGCGGGAGGAGGAGAGGGCAGGGCGGGGATGAGGGGCGAGCGGGATCGGACGGGGGGCAGGGAAGGGGCGGGCGGGGGGGAGGGGGAGGGGGGGAGCGGGTAAAATCCTCTAATAACGATATTCCTATTTCATCACGCCGAGCACACACATGAGAAAGAAACGTGCTGTCGGCTTTCGAGCTCAATCTCGCGATACTCTGATATCCCGGTGACCGTTCGTACGCGAGGAAACGGCACGAAAGCGTCGTTCGCGTTTGGAAAGTTTAACGAAAGAAAACGGCGCCCGCCGTTGGTAAAGTTGCCGCGATACGTACGTACATACGTGAGTTTATATGTACGGGCGCAAGTGTACGGTAAACTTCGCGGCTGCGAAAAAACGTACTGATATTATTGTGCGCGATTGTAACTTGCAAACTAAAGTAACGTAACTAAAGTACGGTTGTGCAACTAAAAAAAGATAGACAAACAAAAACAAGTTGAATTTGGTAGAGTCGTTATGCTACATCTTTCTCCGTTCGCCTTCTCTAAAATTGGTTTCGAACAAATTGGTTAAATCTTGGCCGCTATCTCGGTTCATTGACGAACAGCAATTTCGTTCGGCTTCTCGATGGTGGATTGTTTCGCTGATGACAGATGCCTTCGTAATAAACTTCGCAGACACAAACGACGCTGAACGCTTAACTTGGTTTAAAGTATAACATGAATCGTTTGTTCCTTTTTTTTTTTCTTTTACATCAACGGCGTACACTCTCCGAGTGTACCGAGCAAATTCGCGCACGAATTCGTCTCGTGTTTCTATATTATTGTTAACAACAGCAGACTATCAGATATAACGTAACATTATTTTCTTTCGCCCGGTGTACACCAGGATCGCACTTTAGCGCGTGAATAATTTCCAAGAAATCACTTTGACTTTATCAATACAAAAGTGCCGTCAAAAATATCTCTCCCTTATCGGGCTTTAGTAATAATCAAATGTCACGCCACTGTCAGGAAATTCATGCAAGTTACTTCGGTAATCGCGATCAACATTAGCCAAGCGTAACTAACAAGGAGATAGGGATGGGCGAAACCAATCGATTGCATCGACAATTAATTACTTAATTTTCATCACACGATTATTAATAGATTATAATTTTTAAATAACATGCGCGCTACGCGCATTAATATTAAAGCATTGACTAACACTGGATAAATTTGTTAATTAAGCTGCAGATTAAATGAAATACAACAATTGAGTTAACAATTGAGTAGCAACTCAGTCGGAGATAATTTGTCGAATTTAGCGATATCAATTATCTTCAATTACTATTTAACTGCACAGTTGAATAATAATTGACAATTTTCAAAAATAAAGCACTCAATTAAGATATATAAACGTTTACTTACGCTTGATTCAATTGTTTGATTTATCTTTCGTATGTTATTTATATCCCTTTTGGATAATTCTTAGTGATTTGCATTATTCGAATAATTATTGCCCATATTTTTAGTAATATGATTGAGATGACCGATTATTTATAATAACCGGTATAAATGATTATTTACTAATTAGTGCCCATCCCTACAAAAATATCACTTGTCTCTTACGGACTATCTCGAAATGTTTCGCCCGTGGGAGGGGCACGCTCTGGTAGTAAGAGTTTTACGTTATTACTTATTATCTCGCCGGTTTTTTTTTTTTTTCGCAGTTTCGAAGCATCCTACATCACAAATATCAACGTTGAAAACTACTGTAATATTCTGTACTTTTTGCCAACATCTGACTTCTCTCTGCAGACTAGCGCTATTTTGTGATTGCACCAATATATCACTCGCGCCGAAACTAATCGCCATACGTGAAAATAAAAAAGAAACTTGTATCGCAAATCCGAGGTATCCTCGAACAAAATTAATTCCTGAAATCCATTCAATCGCATTAGCCTTAAAAGTGATCGTCTGTACACAACTGTAGTCTGTAAGCAAGGTTGTTCCGATAGAGTCGCTCGGTTTGAAAACTTTGTTAGCAAAGTAATCCTAAAAGCCACGTTGGATGTGAGTCTTGATGCAATTGAGAGGCTACTTCACCTCGTGACATGTTTTTAGATATACGACCGAAGACAGATGTGTATGTATGTACGTGAAAAATGTAAAAAGCGACAATAATTTCGTGAGACAAAACAAATTTCTAGGACAAAGCAATTTCCGAAAAATTCGTCGCATGAAATAAGTAAAAAGAAGAGTAATTACATTTGGAGAAAATGTATGCGCAGAGAGAATTCGTTTGTGACGCATTTCTGATTTATATAAAATTTTTCACTGCTGAGAAAGGATAAATTTTATAAATACAATAACAAGTAAACGTGTCTTGCCGTATCAGTAAATCCTGATCATGTAATTCTAATGTGGAACAGTGTATGCATA